GAACAGCTCGAAAGCCCTGGACACAAAGAAGAGCTATAGAAGAAGCAGTCTCTGGAGGATCATGAGCTCAACTCACGGGTTACAAGGGCAGCTCCACAGCCAACCTTGCAGAGGAGCTTCTGCCAGTCACATCCAGTAGCACAACTGGCCACCACCTTACCTTCTCCATAGGGTATTGTAAGCCTGTGGACTGCAGGCCCACAGTGCCCCTAAAGATGTGTTCTTTCTGGACCAACAGTGATTTTAAAAATTGAATCATACTAAAACAACAGATTTCAAATATATAAATGCAAATTTCTAGTTTCTCTTTAAAAAATAACAAGAGGGTCAGAAGGTAACACGGTGCTTAAACTGCTGGATCTCATGACTGATATGATTCAAATCCCAGACCCAGTGGCTTGAAAATCATGCTGGGTGTATGTGCATGTTTCCCAAATCCTGAGAGAATGAAGGTTGAAGGACTGTGGCATGGACATCCCCCCGGAAGGTGATTTCTCACTTTCCCTCTCTGTCTCTGTGTCTCTCTCTGTCTCTTCGGTGAGTGCACATGCCCCATAGTGAAAAAAGAAGAAAAGAAAGAAAGAGAAAAGAATCTGTTAGGTAAAACTGAACTCATATTCCCCAACTAGTTGGAGTTCAGTGACTGCTGCCCCTTCACAGGGTGAAAGCAATGCTTCTGTCCTAGTGTGCAAGGGTGAGTGTGGGACTCTGGAGCCAGCCTGCCAGGTTTGTCATCCAACTCAATTACTTACTTACCCAAAACATACTTTACTAATTTGAGTAAGCCCACCATTACTGAACGCATTACTGAACAGTTCTTTCCCTTAGTTTGAACATCAGTAAAATAAAGTTAATAGTTGTGCTGTCTCATAGGTTGCTGTAAAAATTAAACAGTTGACTAAGAGTACTGTGCTTCAAATAGTGCTGGGTGAGTAGTCAATATATAAGCTTTTTCTTTTCTTTATTTGTTGAGGGTTTCTTTTCTATAGGGCACGTGCGCTTGCCAGACAGACAGAGAGAGATGGAGAGATAGAAAGCTAGAAGTCACCCCCCAGGGGGGATGGCCACGCCACAATTCCTTCTCCATTCTCCTCTCAGGATTTTGGGCATGCACACACATGCGCCTGGCATGAATTTAAGCCACTAGGTCTGGGACTCGAACCGCGGTGTACTAAATGGTAGTCCACCGACATAGCCATTACGCCAACTGCTGGTCTCGCTTTTGCTTTTCTTATAATCTATGACTTCTTACCTTATCTTTAAAGTATTTACTTACATTAATCCACATAACAACCCGATAAGGTAGGTTCCATCATCCAGGTTTTATGGATTAGGAAACTGAGAGATTAGGAAACTTGCCTAACCATGCCAGAGAGCTCTGTGATCTCAACCACCATGTTATAGAATGGCATTCCTTCATGTGGGCACACACCCGCCAGTTGGTCACAACACTGGGCCTTTTACAGTGTGTGCATATGAATGTATACGTTGCTCTCCTATCTCCCTACCCTACCCGCCACCGTGCATTCTTTCAAATGATCCCCCTAGCCCTTGTATGCATTTGAGTTTGGGATCCATAATCTAGCAGAGTGGATATGCTGACTAGTTGATGCTTTGTAAAGCATCTCTCCCAACAAGGATTTTATGAAGAACCAAGAAAAAGACAATGTGTGTCACACAAGGTTCTGTTATACTGGGGGTAGTCTGTGACAGTCAAATGCGGTCCACGTTTGATCACCCCATTTGATCACTAAACTTATTAGAAATGCAAATCCTTACACCTCTATCCAGACATACTCAATCAGAATCTCAGGTGTAGAACTCCACATGTGTGGTTTAGTAAGCCCTCCATGGGATCCTGATACAGGTTAAAATTTGAGGACCCCTGCCTTAGAAGGTCATGTTCTTTTAAGACTCTTGAGAAGGGATAGTCATATCTGCTTCTATCAAGTAGGCCAAGAGAAGGATGTAGAAAAATCTCAAAAAACACTGTAACGTAAAGACTAGTTGGGGACATCGTGGCTTTCAAGTGAAGCCGTCAGGATGAAATAGTAGCAAATTCTGTGCTTAGGTAATTAAGTTATACCTTTATTTACTGTTATATAAATGGCATGCTTTCTACAGAATGAACCAATCAACATTTAGAGACAAGCTGCTCAAAACAGTGATCTTAATTTTAAAATAGCTGTTATTTTCCAGCAATATTTAGAGAAAGCTCCACTGGCCACAAAAGATACTACAATGGAGAATATGTATCTATTCACTGTGGTCATATCAATACCATCTATCAGGATACTGGTTGCAACTGAGAGAAACCCAACTCAAACTAGTTTAAGCAAAACAGGAAAAATGCTATAAAGGCCATTCTGATCACATTTTGGTTCAGAAACTTAACATAGTTTTACATTTACAATGAGCAAGAGAGAAGTTTATACAGATTGAGAAGACCAAGTCGGAAGAATGTTTGCAATGACTAAGTCTGACCTCCTTATAGTTGAGCCAATTTTAATTAGATCTCTACCAGTGTGGCTGAATTTTAAAAGAAAATAAGCCAGTGAGAGATAAACCCCACCTGTGCAGTTTTAGCTTTAGTTGAGAAGGTCTAGGAGAGACCCAGCAGTGCTGGAGGACAGTAGAAGGAGAGAAGGGGAACCTAACGCAAGGCTGAGGCCTGGTTACTGAGCAGGCTGTTGCTGGTGGGTGTGACATACATCCTATTTCGATTATGATCTGACTCAATCCACTCTTCTCCTTGTCCTCAACAACATTTGGGAACCTTTCTGTTGGTTTATAGTCTGGGAGGAGCTGTTAGCATAATATCAGCTATCAGCCAAGTTCATCCAGAGGGAAAATTGCCCAAACCTTGAAAACATTTTGGACTGGCACTATGGGAGAGAAACAAGAGTGACAAGGAGTATATCACTTCCTTCTCTTGGATGAATACTCCCAATAAATAAATTCCCTCCTCCTTTTATAAAGTGTGTGGCCTAAAGAGTGTTTAATTCATGTGAAACATGTGCAGAGGCCAAAAGATATTTAGTTAAGTCGATCCAATTGCACTTCTGCAATCTCATGGTAAGAGTTTGGGCTTTACCCCAAGGGCAGTTGGAAACAATGAATGGTTTTAAAAAGAAGAATCAAATAATCAGATTCAAATTTTAGGAAAATCAGCTCTTGTTTCTATGTGATTAGAAAGATGGTGGCCTAACAACACTTTTCTATTATTTTTCCCGGATTCTGTTCCCCTTGTAAAATATCAAATTGATAAACCAAGATTTATCTTTATTGTTAAAGTAAGCCTACATGAAACTTTGTTGAAATACCAGACAAGCTCATAATTTACATAAGAGATTGCCAGTTTTTGAAAAGTATGATAGATTAGGCCTCTGTTCCACTGAGTTGTATCAAAATCTGTGGAGTTCATGAAATGAAATGGCAAAAGTTAGAGTCTTCCAGTTAAACTTGAGTTGCACTAGTGGCAAACATGTTCCAATCACTTAATCTTTTAATCAAGTAATCTATGTAAGGGTCTTCAAAAGTTCATGGGAAATATATATTAAGAAAAAAACTATGCATGAGTTTTGAATTTTGTACCCAAATGAACTAGTGCTTTTATTCCACTTTTCATGAATTTTTGAAGTCCCTCATATCATGCAGTGTTAGTGGGTCATAGCAATAACCATAGAGTTTTAGAGGGGGGATAAACAGGCTTCTCAGGCAAACACATATCTGTTTCTCCATCAACCAGGATGATACTTTGGATGATTACCTAAACACATTCTCACCGCTGGTTTGCAAAACCAGGCCTGGGAGCTTCTGCAACAATTTGTTATATCTAGATGTTCTGGAGGCAATAAGAAATTTATAATAAGCTTTTAAATTGGATCAGTTCTTTGACTGTGGAGTGGGGCAGGGCAGGGGGCATTCTATCTTGTTCTTTTTTACCAGCCACCTCATCTAGGTAGAGTTTTTTTGTTTGCTTTTCTTTGGTGGCCTAATGTTCTTGTCAAATCTAGAACTGGGAGATTAAGACACACTTGCCCAGGAACGGAGCAAATAAAGCTAGTGCTAGTTTATCAACACATCGTTCATAAAAGGAAAAAAAAAAAGTGACTCTCTTCTGAGAGAGAGTGAAAATAAAATGATTAAGCAGTGAGGAAGGCACGGTATACTCTATAAATATTGGAAGTTATGAAAGACAATCGCTGTGTAGTAGGCTACTAAGGGTTTAGGAATGGGACAGTTTTACTTGTAATATCCAAGCCAGCTACAGCAATAGGCAAAGTAGCCTCACTGCTCTTTGTATGTCAGACCCCTCTTGGTTTGAGGTTTTAGCCCCAATTAAACTGAGTCTGAGCTTTTCTAAAGGTTTCTAAATCAAGTCTTTCAGAAATGTTGCAGTAAAACATTATTCTTCTCACTCACTCTTGCCTCTCAGTGACGGTAGCTTCAGGCATCTCTAGACTTTCCTGTTCACCTGGGTCCTCTTCAGGAAATGTGTACAACTCTTCCCTCTGTTATCCACTATTTATGGAAAATCCTTGCTTCCTCCAGGGCATCTGTGTCCCCCCTCTACTGAGGAGGAAACTCGTGTCTATCACTCGCACTGGGAGAGAAGTTCACAGCAGGACAAGTGACTGATTAGTCATGTAATTCCAAATTACTAGGTACTCAAATTAGACTAGCGAAATACAAAATGTGCTCTCGTGTTTGGCATTATATAAGCTTCTATTATCATAGAATTTAGATTCTTGTAGAATGACATAAGCCCCAAAGAAACGAAAGACTTAAAAAAACCAAAACCAACTTGGCTTCTTTGAGGGGATCACGTGACGCTAATAAGGCTTACCATCCAGCAAGGAGTGGCCATCAGGGTTCCACAGGAATGAGCTCACATGTGGTCTTATTCAGTGGCATGCAAACACTGCTCACAGTGATGGTAAACTGGCTGTATATTTATTTCAAAGCT